CAAATTATTTTAGCAGTATATAGAATAGAGGTTGCTCTATCTAATTTTTTTTGTTACAACCTTGGCGGTTTTGTACATGTGGCTGCAGTTCTAATTTTGTGCCTGCAAAACGTTACCTAATATGAAGAACATATTGTGTAACATTTCGGTCAATCATCCAATCAGATTTAAAGCCTGCTATGCTACTTCCAACGTGTAGAATTCTACATAATTCTTAGATTCTTTATGCACATGGTTTTGCCAGTAACAGTATTATGTTACATTAAATCAAGCTCTTTTATAGGACAATAATCATGTGGGTGAAATTTTTATGGCGATACTCATAGGAATATACCAATGCATTATTTTTTATAAAATCAAGGATTGCCGAAGCAACTGATACATAAAAATTGCAAATTACATTACTGCTATTACAAAAGGTAACTAAAATACAAATAAAAATAAAAACAATTACTCCAATGTTTAATCATTAAAAAAAGTTGCAATAAATTATTTGATTATTATAAGTATTAAAATATTTTATTAAGTAGTTTTACTAAATGATCAAAGATTAAATATTAAACTCACTAAATAGTTAAATAAATCTTAATCAAATAAAACTATTAAATTAAAGTGTTAAATTTTAAAAAACTTAATATATACTATATATATTTCCACTTAGGCAAAGTTATGTATACTAATCTACCTAAAACCTATTGCAAAGTCTGACATCACCGGTTGTCTTTACGACACTGACCTGGCGCACCAGTACAACGTACTGGACGTACTTGCACTACAATAGGATATTACCAATCTGATAACATCTTCCGTATGGAAGAGCAATAACAAATAACTAATGCAAAAAGAAATATAAAAAACTGAGTACATGACATTTAGAGGAAAACCTGCTAATCAGACAAAAATTTCTCAAGAAAAACTGAAAATTAAATATTTTTATAATAATATTATAATGAAAATTAAATATTTTTATAATAATATTATAATAAAAATTAAATTTGATTATGATACTTTTGAAGTAAACGCAACATCACAACTGACGCACCAAATGGATCCAACATTACCTGCTCCAAAACATTGCCAATAAATTGAAAGTCTAATGTCTACAGTTGCACCTGATGGAGGTGCGTTAGCAGGATCATAACTAACAATATAATCGTATGGGTTATCCCCTTTATAGGTTGCGCAATTTGCGTTAACATCAAAATTACTAAAATCATAACCATTGACAAATATTGCATGCTTTGAAAACCTATAAGAATGACCATTATTGTCATTAAAAGTGAGATGGCCAACTGCTGTAGGCGCATAATTGTCACAAATAGCATCATGAGTTGGTGAAGCTATGGTGACTTGGAGTTGATTGTTTGGTAACCACTTAGCATCTAAAATTTTGGGTGGAGGTTGATCGTCCGCTGTGAAAATACAAAATATATTATTATTAGCAAATTAATGTGATATTCAGTTAACTTAATGATTCCTATAATTAACTTACGGTGCCAGCAGTCACCGTTACCCTTATTTGAGTATATACGCAAGAATACAAGCAAAACATGAGTAAAATAACGATACTAAAGTGTTTAGAGTTCATATTTTTTAATTATATTTAACTTTTTTTTTTGTTATTGATCTTGATCGTAAGAGAGGCATTATTTATAGCAATTTTTCTATATATATAACACATATAGCCTTATTTTACAAATTTTTATCACGAACACGTATGCTAATACTCCGTAATCAACCTAATTTAAATGAAAGTCAAATTGAGATTAAAACTTAAAAAATTTTTGTCTTTTTTCCAGATTGGTAATTTGATTAGTAGATATAGAATGGCATAATTTATTTTGTTCAATTAAAGACGGCATTCACATGGTTTATTTAACTAATGGTAAGATGTTCCATATCAATTTTTTACATAATGATTTCAAATAAGCAAAAGTTGTCCGAAGGTTCCGGTACTAAATGCAGTAAAATTCCATAAACGTCATGAGTTTGTTTTTATTTAATAAATCATCAAACATATTTTCAATTTATCCATCCTTAAATTGTATGTCATATTCATTATAATATGACATTTTTCACAATTAAAAAATCTATATTTTTTTTGTAGATAATTTCATCTTAGAATATATAAAATGAATCTATAGATTACAGTGCGTATCAAAAAAAGGAACCAAAATTATTTGGCTAGAGCAATGAGAAGCGGAATGGAAGGCCTTAGAGTTTTACTCTTAAAAATTTAGCAAATATTCGGCTTCCCCCATTATGATTATGATAAATTTAAGCTACTTTGTCGAGCTTTAATCAGTAATTTCTCATTAAAAATATATGATTGATTATCAAAAATTGGAGAGATGATATAACAAATCAAATCGAGAACACAGTCACATAATCTTCACATGAGCCAAACATCGATCAAAGAGCTGTTACATTCAGTATTTAAATTTATAATGATAAGACTAAATACACGTAAATAAACAAAAATAAATGAGATGTAAGTAGCGTATCTAAATAATTTGGTTGATAAGAAATATGGTAATACAGATGATCTTTATGCTCAAACAAGTAAGAATTAAATAAAAAGTGAAGATTTTAAATGCTTCTGTTTAAGGGTTTCAGAATGGTGCATTTCATAATGAAATACAGTAAAATTAAAGTTAACGATTTCGGAAATGATTGAAGCTTAAAAAGCCGGAAGAAAATCAAATGGGAGAATCCGAGATTCTTATTTCATGCAATAATTTTAAATTTATCTATACATATATTAGTCACTATATGGAGTTTAAGTCGCGGCTGAAGCTGGAAACGGCTGAAGCTAGAAATTAGGGACCTCTCGATTTAAATAAAAATAAAATAAAAATAAAATAAAAATTTATACTGTATATACATAAACTCTACCACAATTCACTTATACATTTTTAGTATTAGAACTAACCCTAAATCCTAAGCTAACAATGAAAAAAAAACTAAGAAAATGCATCACAAAAATTTTTGAAAATTTCATTAAGTACTTAAAATTTCCAACTTTAGCCGTTTCCGCAACAATTAATAATAACAATTATTATATAAAAACTATTATTATATAAATAAGTGTATTTGGAATTCAATTTGAAAATGAAATTTATAAATAGTTATTTCAAAAAACTAATATGTGCCTATTTACTAAAATAGGTTCTTTTAACTTTGAACTTCCAAAAACCTCTAGTCATCTATTAGATCAACGTGAAATAAGATAATTTAAACAAGAAACGTATGATCGCTGTTGACTAAGTTGGCGCAAATAAAAGAAAATTATGGATAATAAATGTCAAGGAAATAATACTATTAGCAAAGTCATTGACAAACCAGCGAGAGATATAGGAAAACGATCATATGGATATTTGCTGAAACCCAGTTTGACGATACCAAATCCATGCTGGGTAATGATATTTGAATGATCTATTAAAAGTAAACTATTTTAAGCTATTAAACTTTAGTAGTTTCAGTATTAGGGTGTTCTCAAACCTCAACCCGATGTGATTATATCCACGTAACAATAATTATATTTACGACGTTTTCCCATGCATCATCCTCGATGTTGTTTGATAGTGATCGCGATGATGCTCAATTATTATAATCAATTAAAATAAAAATTGCAATTGATGCTTGAGCGATTTTCATTATTACTCTATATATCAAATGTCATCGTTAAAACTTAATAAAAAAAAATAAAAAAAAAAAAAATAAGAAAGCCATCAAACAAGAAGTAACGAATGCTAATGAAGCTACAACTTCAGCTGTTCCTATTGCACCTTTTACCGAATTTCAACAACTTTAATATCTTATAGTAATTAATGTTTTAGAGGATTCTTTGTGTACCGGGTACACTTTTGGGAAGAAACTTACTTGTTAGGCCAGACCAAGTTGATTATGTGTTTTACATTACCCCCCCCCCCCCCCTAATAAAAATTTTTTTTAAATTTTACTATTTGAGCCCCCCCCTCCTCCCCCGCCCCCGCCCCCCCCGCCCCC